GGGAGCCTGCTTCTCCCTCTGACCCTCTCCCCTCTCATGCTGTTTCTCTCTCTCTTAAATAAATAAATAAAAAATAAAGAAAATAAAAAAAAAAAAGTTGGATGCTTAACCGACTGAGCCACCCAGATGCCCCTTCATTTACATTTTTAAAATTTTGTGCTAAAATAGAGGGAATATTCTTTGTAATGATCATTTTTCAGTTTGGTCACATGATCCTGAAAATTAAGTATGTGTATAAGAGTTTAAGAATGACAGTGGATTAATTCCTTTCTTTCAAGTTTTAAACCAGTCTTCTCTGGCCTTCCCACCCATTTGGTAGGGCTGGGATCCTTTCTCTGTGGGCCCATTCTGTCCTTTACTAGTTCTCTTTACAAGGACACCCCCATGTCTGTGTCATAATCATCATTTGGTCTCTCTAGGGCCCCTCACTGAGCTTAGTGTCCAGCTCAGTGCCTGGCACATAAGTGACTGATAACTATTAGCATGGTGAATGAATTTAGAGTATGACATGTGTTTATTAAGTCCAGTTTGTAACTTAGAGATGTGTGACAGATATTTCTCATTTTTCAAATGAGTAAGGTAGACAAGGACAGTTGTGATCATCTTTTGGTTATAGATACAGTCACATTCCAAGAAACACTACCAGCAGGGCACCTAGGTCTTTCCTTTTTGTGTAATTCACATACCATACAATTCACCCATTTAAAGTGTATAATCCAATGTCTTTTTGTATATTAAAATATTATTTTTTTAATTTGTGGTAAAAAACATATGACAAAATTTACCATTTTAACCATCTTTAAGTGTACAGTTCAGTGGGATTAAGTACATCTACAATTTTGTGCAACCATCACTATTTCCAAAACTTTTCAGCACTTTAGATAGATACTCCATAAATAAATGAATGTATGAGTGAATGTCGATAGTTTAGGGAAAATTTTCAAGAAATAAATGTGACCTTGATTTCTCACTTCCCTTCTAATTTGTTGTGTTGTCTTTTATACTTCTATATGAAAAGTTATTATAATTAAGATGGTACCATGCCTTATCGTAGTGTGATAATACTGAAGTTCCTTATAATGGAAAACTGGGCAGTTCTTTCAAGTTTGAATATTGAATTACTGAACTTTCTAGGGTCTCTAAAAGTTGTAAAGCAAAATTTGAATGATATCCCTAAGCCCACTCTGATTTGCAAAGGATGGCTTATCCAAGTTTATATTATGCTATTTGGCTTCCTCTATTGCTGTGTATTCTCTTTGCTTTTGTAGTTGGAGGATACCCTCCACTTTCATAGGAGATATCCTAGGGCTTCTTGAGATTAGAAAAGTTCACAAATTTGTAAGGTGCTCCCAAAACAAAGGGATTTATTTTAGGTACAAAGTGTTTGAATCTTTTTTTATTCTAAAATTTTTATGTTTTCCTTGCCTGCTGGATTGCTTTTATCAGTGTTAATCTCTTCTTTAACATCTTTTTTTTTTTTTTTAAGATTTTATTTATTTATTTGAGAGAGAGAGAATGAGAGAGAGAGAACACCTGAGAGGGGATAGGGTCAGAGGACGAAGCAGACTCCTTGCCGAGCAGGAAGCCCGATGCGGGACTCGATCCAGGGACTCGATCCAGGGACTCGAGGATCATGACCTGAGCCGAAGGCAGTCGCTTAACCAACTGAGCCACCCAGGCGCCCTTCTTTAACATCTTTTTAAAAACAGTTTGTGGCTTCTGCCTGTTTCCAGCTAAATAAGTTTGGCAATCTTCCATTTTTAACAAGGAGAGAGCACTCTTGGGCATCTATAGGGAGAAGGCTAGGACAGAGTAGATCTGGGAAGCAAAAAATAGTTGTAGCTATTTTTCAGTAGGTTTGGAAGGGATACAGCTGTTAATCCCAAATCTCCAAAAGTGGAGGGTTTCCTATGCATGTGTGAATATATGTGTGCTTCTGATTTTAGTAAAATTTAATTAGTATTACAGCCTAGTTAATTCTGAGATAACTGCATGGGAGTTATGGGCCCTAGTTCTGGCTCAGGCCCTACTAGTGACCTGAGCAAACCACATAACTTTTGTGGATTCATTATTGGCACTAGTAAATTAAGTGGGCTTGAGTAAGTGGGTAAATTAAGTTTGCTGTTAGAAAGCAAACTAGCATATCCTTGGTTGCTTCCTGCAAACTAGTCATTTCTTTGAAGGTATCTAAAATTTTTTTTTAATTTTTTATTTTTTTTTAATTAAGTAAGCTCTGCCCCAACGTGGGGATTGAACTCACAACCCCGAGATCAAGAGTCACGTGCTCTACCAACTGAGCCAGCCAGATGCCCCTAAAATATTTTTTTAATTATATATTCCACCATAATATATAGCCTTCTAAAATTGAATATTAAGATTGCATTTTAAATTTGTTACCACCCTGTAACATTGATGCTTCCCAAAGATGCGTACTGTTTATTCTGGAGTTTTAAGTATTCCCTGACCCACTGCCTCATACCCTGAGGGCCTCTTATACCTCTCAATTTGAGAAGCGCAGGACCCAGAGGACCTCTAGGTCTCTTGCAGCTCTGATGTGGTATCATATTTGTCTCTAGTTTTGGGAAACTATAAATTTATAACGGAAAAATATGATCGGCCAATTTGCATGGCTTAATTTCTTTTTCTGAAAACTGGAGATTGCAATTCTATTGTATGTAAAAGCTGTTTCATCAGAAACTGCATGCAATTTGAGAAATGGATTGCAAATTTAGAAAAAAATCCTTTACAGATGTTATCTTTGTTGCTCTCAATCTTTCTTTGCTGCAAATCCTGCTTTTTTCTTTCCTGCCTGCTAATTGGATTAAAGACTGTTTTGCCAAACCATGGCATCTGGAGGCGACAGTCCTGTCTTTGAAGATGATGAAAGGTAAATGTCTTGCATGGCAATAAAACTAGCTTTTGAAACTTTCAAGATTGTTTTAATCACTCAAGAGTTATTTATCCAGGCTACTTGGTTAAGGACACATTTTATAAACTTGCAGAATGCATGGTTTTGCTCTTCTGTGATTGAGAGCAAGGGTAGTAAACACCTGGCATGGAGGTGGCCACCAGTGGGACACATCTTTTCCCATAGGGCCTGGATGTAAGGTCTCCAAGTCTGCCGTAGCACAGAGTTCTTGGCAATCACTTCAAAATGATATCAAATCAGTCCACTTACCATTTCTTGTTTAGAGTACACAGAGGACATTAGAGTGAATAAAGAGTAAGACGTAGTTAAGAGAGCAGGCTCAAAATATATTTTGTATAGGTATTACATAATATAATATATGGCATTCACACAGGGCACAGATATGATAAGTATTATATATTTTATATTAAAATATTAATATCTAAAAGGTGTATTTAAGTTGTGCCAGAAGCTTATGACAAAACAGAATCCTTTATTTTTTTAAATAAGATTACTATAGTAAAGACAAGAATTACCATTTTCCATACATTTTTATTTCTTTTATTATAGGACATTTCTTCTATGACTTCTCTTCTTCTCAGTATAATAAATTAGAACCCTTTTTGTTAAAATGAATCCTAACTGATTTAAATTTGAAAGGTTTGGAGAGTTCTTGTTTTGGAGTGAATGATCTGAAAAAGAAAAACCAGAATTAAATACTGTGCTTTTTAAATGGGGATGTAGGGAAGAAGTAGAGACTTTTTACTGACCTTTCCAAGCATTATTCTGTAACCCAGCTTAGAATACTATCCTGGATAAACTGATGGGTTCTTAATCCTATTAATATTAAGGTGACTTTGTTTGGAATTACCCGACTATATACCCATATATAGTAGTTTCATCTTAAAGGAAGAGTACATAAGAGGAAGAAGATAGTTATATGTACTGTGAGTAGAAATTCTTAGGTACTGTCACTTTAATATCTTGTAATTTTAGGGGTTTAAAAAAATCTGATATTTTCATCTTGGAAATATTAATTGGTTATTTTCTTACGGTTTTTGGCCTATTGTAATTGCTTTATTTTATTCCCTTAGCCCTCCTTATAGCCTGGAAAAAATGACAGATCTCGTAGCCGTTTGGGATGTTGCTTTAAGTGACGGAGTCCATAAAATTGAGTTTGAACATGGGACCACCTCAGGCAAACGAGTGGTATATGTAGATGGGAAGGTAGGAAAAAAATAAGTTATTTTGTGAAATATGGTATACATAGAAGCTTGATTTTGTTAACATAGATTCTTCATATGTAAATTCAAGGCTTTTCTCTTACATTGGTTATCTTTATATTTGGGCCTGGATCATATTGCTGGACCAAGCAAACTAATAATAGTTATAGGATCCATAGACAATAACATTTAAACTTGAGGTGCTTTTATTTTCTAAACTGTTTGAATCATGGAGTAATAAAATTACATCTAAATAGCATTGCTATTTACTCACTTTAATTATAGCACTTCTAAAGCTAAATATTAAATTTTCTTCCATTTGTGTGTTTTTAACTTTTATATTTTATTGCTTAGGAAGAGGTAAGAAAAGAATGGATGTTCAAACTAGTGGGCAAAGAAACCTTCTGCGTTGGAGCTGCAAAGACGAAAGCAACCATAAATATAGATGCTGTCAGTGGATTTGCATATGAGTATACTCTGGAAATTAATGGGAAAAGTCTCAAGAAGTATATGGAGAACAGGTCAAAAACCACCAATACTTGGGTATTACATTTGGATGGTGAGGACTTTAGAGTTGTGTTGGGTAAGTGAGTGCCGTTTCTGCAGAATTTATTGGCTTTTTATGATGGTTGTTAATTAGTTCCCCTAACCACCCTGACCCTTTATGGGAGATCGGAGTAGAGAGAGTGTAAGTGTGTGTAGGTGTATTTCTGATGTGTCCTATGTGAACGAAGTATTCATTTAAATGACTGATTTATATGAGAGCCAGATTTTGTAGTGATGGATTGGAGATTATAAACAGGTTTAAAAAAAGAAATTAAAAAAAATTTTTTTAAAGAAAAAAAGAAACCTTTTAAACAGGTTTTAAAAAAGATGTAGACATTTGTTATTATTTATTATTGATATTTCTATTATTATTGATATTTCTCTTTAAAAGGATATCTAGAGACAGTTGGAAATTTAAGCTTGATCAGTAACAAGGGAATTTTTCTCTAGGTAGCAAGAGGTTTAGTACGGCAGCACATCAAAATTGTCAAAGTCCAGATAAAGTAGATTAAAAAATAAAAAGTAATAAGCCGTTGATCTTTGAGCTAAGTTCTGTTGTTACAGATTGCCATCTATGTTGTTTCCACTGGGCCTATAAAACTTAAGAGACAAATATTTACAAGTTACTATCTTTTCTCTCTTCTGGTACTCCCAGTATTTCCTGCTTCTCATATCACTAAAGTTAAGACCATTTGGATTATCTCATTAATTCATTGATTCATTTATTTAGATAATACTGAGTACCTACTAAATACCAGTTAGCATATCAGGCACTGAGGATATGTAGATGAAGAGATGTTGTCCATGCCTTTAAAGAGTCTACAGTCTAGTCAAATGCTAGCATGTACTTTAAAAAAAATTTTTTTAAGAATGAAAAATGTGGGGGCACCTGTGTAGCTCAATTGGTTAAGCCTCTGGCTCTTCGGCTCAGATCATGATCTCGCCGTCATGGGATCAAGCCCCGTGTTGGGCTCTGCACTCAGGGCAGAGTCTGCTTCAGATTCTCTCTCCCTCTGCCTCCTGCTCACTTTCCTCTCTCTCTCTCAAATAAATAAATAAAAACTTTGAAAAAAAAAAAAAGAAAAATGTTTGGGGCGCTGGCTGGCTCAATTGGTGGAGCACGTGACTCTTAATCTCAGGTTCGTGAGTTCAAGTCGCACGCTGGGTGTAGAAATCACTTAAATAAATTTTAAGAAAATGAAAAATGTTTATCAAGTAATTAAATGCACGTAGTTGAAAAAAAAAAACCCAGAAACTCCTGTATAGCTTATTTATTGAAGAAACTGGATCAGTTTGTCTTGAAGAGTTTCCTGTGGTCTGGATTTTGTTGATTGCACTTCCGTGATGTTTCTTTTTCTTTTTCTTTTTAATATATATAATTTTAAAGTTTTTATTTTTAAGTAATCTACACCCAAAGTGGGGTTTGAACTTAAAACCCTGAGGTCAAGAGTCACATGCTCTATCAACTGAGCCAGCCTGGCGCTCCCTCACCTCTGTTTTTGTTTCCTATACATTTGTTGTTGACTGAAGAATTGGTTAAATTTAGGTTTGATTTTTTTTTCTGGCCAGACTACTTTATAGTTTTGTTATC